GGGGGGGGGGGGGGGGGGGGGATTGTGGGGTTCTGAACACCGTGATTCGTGACGAAAAATTACCGAAATACCTCAAGAAACATTTTACAACAGTGCAATAGCCCTTAGCTATTTAAAGTATATTCATTTTTCTGATTAATGGAGGAATCATTAAACGAAAAATCTTTCAGTAAAAGGAAAATTTTAAGTATGGTATCGGAAAAAAAAATTTGCAATCATAAAATGTAGGCAGGTTGCAACATGACTTCGAAGAATTTTCAAGCCGACCTTGTTCGGTTTCAATCTGATTTTAAATAAGTCTGTTAATTTTCTCTAACCCTCACCTGATATATTATCCTTCCTTTCCATTCTTCAGCCGTTTTCCCGTCGCATTGATAAAAACTGATTTGAATGAAAAGCAAAAGTGTGGCGATTGTGCCAAGCGGTAACCTCTTGCAGCTTCCCATACTGAAATGCAATGAGTCAATGAGCTAAATTCAGGTCACCTCTTGGATAATCATGTGACAGTCACGCTGTATACTGACGTGACTGCCACGCTATGTATGAATGGTCAATTCAAATTTCAATATGGCGCCAATATTAGGGACTGCAACAAGTTGTTCTTTTTACCAAATTATTCCATGATAAGGAATATTATTATTACGAAGTAATACGTTGGATTTCATTATTATACACCTATTTTCGGTAAAAGTCCTCTAAAACAGTGGATGGAGATACCACAGTTGCCGGTTGAACAACTTTCATGGCTTTGAATTAATATGCAGGTTATGCATGCAATCATAAAAATAGTTCTCTCTCCTTGTATTTATAGGATCAGATTGGAAAAAGGAGCTAAGCTGAGGCGTTGGCAAATTTGGTTTCACAATCGATCGAGAGAAACAACGGTGGAAGTGAAGAAGTCTGGCCATTCTGTCACCACGTGTACAAATTGAAGTACTGTTTCAGCTGATGGAGAAGCTGAGGGGAATTTGTCATTAATTTACAGTGTTTTTTTTTATCAAGATCCAGTGGATTTTGATATTATTTGAAGGATATCTTCGGAATAAAACGAACAAGTTTTTCTTGATAATGATTACGAAGGACTTGTCGCATGCAAAAGAGCAGTTAAATTAATTATTCATTCTTCGGGAACCATGGCAACACTACCCAAAATGACTCTTCACAGCAATTAGAAGAGAACGAGTGTCAATAAATTTCCAAAAGGTATGGAAGTGAATTTGTAAATATAGCGACTTTTGCGCTCCGTTTGTGAAATCCTCGAAGCCGAATGCTGATGTTGCACGCGCAAGAGAAGCAATGTATCATCAACAATCGGAGTTGTTTTTCTTCGATCAGTGTGGCACGAGACGAAAGTACAAACGCTTTCGAAAGCCAACCGAGTTGTTACCGTTTTCGTTACGACTCACGGGTCTCAGTGGAGCGGTTAAAGTTGAAGCCTATCTTAAACAACAGCAACAAAAGGCTGGTGACGCGGCACAAGGGAAAGAAAAGAGTTTTGCGGCTGAAAACAGCGAGACACCCGAGTCTCGGCCGGCTGGTGCGCTCAACAACTTCCCTCTACCCAAAGCTGATCACTCGGCAGAGGTCGACGGTAAAAGACCACATCCTACTGGTGGGAAATTATTGAATTTACCAGACATCGGTTTAAACTCAGGAGGGTTTAATTCTCCACCAGCGATTAGGAGTTTTGAACAACTGGAAGGAGACGATGACGAAGAAGACACTCAGAGATTCTTGTTCGAGGAGAACAAGTTCGCCTCCCAAAATCTGCTAGCTCAGCTGGGACGGTTACTCGATCAGATTCATCAACAACAATTAGAAGAACTAGAGGAAATTGAATCAACTAGTTTACATTTTTGTCGGGTTGCAAGTCCTGTAGCTGAAGTTGGAGAAGATAGCATTGTTTCTGAAACTATTCGCAGTGGGGGAGTTGTAATTTCTTTACCGGACGACTTGCACAAAAAGCTAAGTGCTAATTTCGAAGAACTTTCAGCTGGAGCTTTATATCTGCGACGTGAGTGGCAAACTACAAGCTACAGAGAACAAGCGATCTTGCAGAAACGTCTAGGGCTCATGTCTGAATCTAATACCAATGTAGACGCTTCCAAATCGGGCCACGATAAATCGTCGCCGTCCACAGGAATAATGGATCACAACAAAACGATAAGCGATGATAAGTTAGCGGCAATTAGAGCATCCGAATCAAAAGATAAGCGAAGACAATCGACTTTTGGAGAATCTCTTTCTAAATTAGACACCACAGATGAACTCAATTTAGGATCACAAACTCCTGCGACAGATCACAGCCATTCTGACAATCAACCTCGTCGAGAGTCTTCACGTCTTTCGTTTAACTTTGGGAAAAAAACACGGTTGGAAAAGTTCAAAGCATTAAACGATAAAGCTTTAAGTGGTGAGTCAATTACCTGTATCCGTATTTTGATTTTATTCAGAAATATTTTGGTGTAGATTTGAAAATCAGAAATTGAAATTAATATGCCGGCGAATAATCAAGCGGGTTCTGTTATTTTTGGCAGCTGATGTCACGAAATGTGTATAATTTATTTGGTGAAACAAAAGGTTTATTTTTTGCTGAATTAAACCTTTTGGTAGCAGTTTTTATGGGACACAATAGAAAAAATGTGGAACAACTAGTAGTTAAGTGTTACATTTATCAACAAATTTCTACTCACCTTCCACGTATTTTCTTTCTTAAAATAAAACTTATCTCCTTTAGTTCAATTTTTGATTCCAATTTAACTACTCCCCCCCCCCCCCCCCCCCCACCTCCTTGAAGATTTACATTACTACTAGCTATTTGTTATTTCTGAATCCATGCCCTTCCAGGGATCATTTTCTTATTGGTAAAGCTGTGAACTCTAATTATTTGAAGTAAACTACAAATATGATCGAAAAAAAAATCTTAAAACTATTTCAATAATAATTTCTTGTATTAAACTCTCCCCTGAAGTTTTCTTATTTAAGAAATTAAATGGTGAATGTAATACTTGATGTGTTAAGGAGACTGATAACTGAGCAAGATGAAGCCACTTGTATTTGCAAGATTAGCTCATCTTGCTAGCCTAGTGTTTCTTCCTACAGCCTAACCAAACTGAGTGTCTTGCATTTATTTTGCATTTTTTTTAAAAAAATATCTTTGCCATGTGTAATGTGGTTCACTGGTGGAGGGGTTTAGGCCTTTTTGATTTGCAACCTGTATATAAAGTTTGTATACAAATATCATTTTTTTGTTCAAAACTTTCAGAGAAAAAAAAGGCAGGTCTTGATGAGGATGATGACACTCAGAATGACAATGATGGTGAGTATTTGTTTCCTATGGTTTGTTGCTTGATTTTTTTTCTTTTTAATTTTTTAATAAAAGTATATTAATTATCTTTTACATGGTAAGGGCAGTAAGCAGTAACACAAAGAATAGATGTGGATTCCATGACCACAGCTGCAAAAATTAGTTTGCATTTTCAGTGCTTCTGCAGTTAATTATACAGTAAGGGTCTTCATCTTCCTGTCATGTTAAGAACTGGGCCAGTGCTTCAACTCACATTTGTTAATGGTCACACAGATGGGTAGGAAAAAATTTTAAACCTGATTTTGTAATGATTATCACGATTTCAATGACAGTTTTGCAGTCTTGTAGCAAGCTTTCACACTTTGTTCTTTTTTAATGATTGGCATGTAAAGGTTTTAGTGAGATGGTTACTGGTATAAATAAATATAAGTTCAAAGATTTTAGGTTTTTTTGTTTCCAAATGATGACATTGAAAAAATGTTGAACTTGGAGCCCTGCGGAGGGTGTAATTATAATAATCTTTTGAACATTTTACAATGTATTATTATTTTGTTTTTCATTAAATACATTAGTTATCTGTTACTGAAATATTTCTTTTCATATTTACAGTTACTTCTGCTCATGGGATTGGGCAACCAACAGTTATCAACTTTTCCTTGCTCTCTAAGACCTGTGAAGAAAAAGGTATCTGAAATGCATCAACATGTGATTTTCTACTCATTTTATCACATTTGTTGAACCCTTTACATCCTAACATCAGTATCCATATTCTCTATACTCTACTTTATACATTTCCTTTACTACTGACAAGAAGATTTCATTTAACAATCAATGCTTCTTAGTTTGGCAATTGTTGCCATAATTTTCATGATTTAAAAAAGCTCCTCTTAGGGTAAACCCTTTAACTCCCATGAGTGACCAAGACAGAATTTCTCCTTTCAATATCAAGCAGACAATTGATGAGAATGATGGAAAATATTGGTCAGGGGATTATAAGTTGATCCAATAACAAATTCTCCAAACTAACATCACAAGAACTGTATGGCAGACAGTAATTACTAATGAGATCTTGGTATTTAAAGGGTTGAGAGGGGAAATAAGAATCAATGGTTAACTACTGAACACTGGCATTGAATTTATGGTTGTCCTTTAATAAAAACACAAGGTTGGATACTTCATCAAGATGACGCTGATGATCTTGAAAGGCAGACATTGTTGGAATGGGCTCGTTCAAGGTTACAGCAAGTTATCAGAGAAAAGTAAGGCTTTTTCTCTAACTTTAACATGTTTCCACAATTTTGTTTAGGGGCCAAAAGTTGAATGGTTATTATTGAATTAAGGGGTCATGAATGATCACATAATCTCCATATACGTACAAGGACAGGGTGATCAAGACATCTGATTAAACAGCACTGCATTGTATTTATACCATAATTAATGTACAGTATCAGAGAAGACATCCAATCTGTGATTGTTGTCACCTCTTGATTATAATTACTTGTAATTTTACTTTTGTCTCTTCCTTTGTCTACATCAGGGAAGAAATGAAGGAAAAAGCAAGAGAACTTAAGATAGATGGCCCGCTAGTTACCAAGTTTTATGGTGACACCCAAAGGGAGGCAACCATGAAATACAAGAAAGGGGTGTCATGGGCAAAACGGTGGAAAAATTTGTCTGAAGAGGACAAAAGACCGAAGTTCCTTACTTCTCTACCTGATGGCACCTCCTGTTGCTAGTATCCTTGTTGTATTTCTCTGTAATGTGTATAATATCAATGTCACCTTCTTTGACCTCCTACATCATCAGAAAAACCAGTATCAATTCAGTGGTGTTAATCGGGTGTGTGTTACCACACAGGGTTTGGCTGTGGGGGTTTGAACTTCTTGGAAGAAAATTATTTCCAGACGCAAAGTACTAGTTTTGAGCACCTGATGTAAACTGGGAGGTTCAGGTTGTAAATGTTCGTTAACATTGTTTTTGAATTATAGCAATCCTTAAACTTTGGTCTGGTAGACATACTCTACAACACCCTGTTGTTGATATGCAGAAATTTATGTATTCTAATTGGTTGTAATTAATGGGGAGGCATGATAATCTATTTATCTATTTATTTGTTTCATGCTTGGCGCAGGGTTGTAA